TAGGGGATGGGGATGTGCCCTGGGAACTTGGTCGGAGTTGGAGGAGGGTGCCTAAGCACGCTGGGGCTGACACTTTCTGACAAGGACTTGCCTGTGTGGCTCCTCCTGTGGTGGAGGCCACCTTGGGTAGAAAGGGGAAGTCCCCTAACACACACAGGTGATGGTGTGGCCAGGTGTATGTCTCATCAACTCCCGACCACCCAGCTGTGTGCAGTCAACTGTGCACATGCTTACACATGCATGCCAGCAATGTGCTTGCCACACCCACATCCACAGACACGCGAATGAGGACAGAGGCCAGCCTCCCACTCGCTCTGCCCCGTGGGTACTGCGTGTGGACCCCTCACTGAGGGGTCCCCCATGCACAGCCTGTGATGAAGAGTCCTAGCTCCACAACCCACAAACACTCCCCAGTCCCCTGCACTGTTCAAACACACAGGTAAGGTGGGCAGCGCCGGCACAGCAGGGGGCACGGGAGTCAGATGTCCTCTGCACCCAGCTGGCAGCTCCGCCAATGGGGACACAGAAGAATGTGGCAAGTGCATGAGCACCCACCACCCACAGGCCCCAGGCCTGTGACGGGGGGTCCGTGAGGCCAGGAGGAAAGGAGCAGACCAATGAGAGCACCCCACAGGCCTGGGCTCTTCCCTGGCCAGCCCCACCCACCACGTCCCTGTAACAGAGATGATGTACCCCAAAGAAAAACTAAGGGAGCAACAGGCCCTGCCGTCCTGGAGAGGCTGTGCAGTGACACGGCACCCCCAAGGCCTGCACCAGGAGAGTGTGAGCACTGCTGGGGCTGGGCAAGGGCCACGACACCATCATCTCTGCCTCTGCATTTGTGATCCAATGTGTTTTCAAACTTGCCAAGACAACTGGAAGAATGGGGGCATGGAGGGCTTCCCTATGAGATAATCAAGACTTAAAAGCTAGAATAACTAGTAAGGGACAGATCAGACCAGAGAGCAGGCAGGTAGGCTAGGCACGGCCCATGGGTGGCTGCGGCCAGGCTGAGTTGCTGCAGCCAGCAGCTGATGCTGAGGCAGGCTCGTGCCCTATGGAAAAAGGTGAAATGGGATCCCCTGTCGGTCAGGACATAATAGGTTATGCTGTGGAAAACACAAGCCCCAAACTCAGTGGCTTCACACATCAAAAATTTATTTCTTGCTCATATTACATGTGCATCGCGGTCAGCAGAGGGGCTCTGCTTGTCACAGGCTCTCGAGGATGACAGCAGACCCCTCCCTTCCGCCAGTTACACTTACAGGTGGACTCATGGTTGAATGTCAAAGGCAGAAAGTTACAACCTGGGAATACAGGATAATGCCTTTGTCCCCCCAAGCAGGGAAAGATTTCTTAAGTGAGAAACAGCGTCCCATACAGCACAACTGGGCACTGCCCACCCAAGAGCCAAGGCTTGGCCATCCCCACTCCTCAGTATGGGCCCCAGAACCCAGGGCCTGGGGGACTCTGCACACAGGCATGTGGAGACCATGGAAGCCTGACCAAGATAGCGCTGCCAGGAACAGCAAAGACAAAATCAAAGAAGCCTATCTGGGGCACTGCTGTGGGTGGAACTATGTCCCTTCAATATTCTTAAGTTCGAGTCCTAACCCCTAGTACTTAACATTTGAAGACAGGGTCTTTATTTTTTTTATGTTTTGAGACCAAGTCTCGCTCTGTTGCCCAGGCTGGAGTGCAGTGGTGAGATCTCGGCTCACTGCAAGCTCCGCCTCCCGGGTTCACGCCATTCTCCTGCCTCAGGCTCCCAAGTAGCTGGGACTACAGGCGCCCGCCACCACACCCAGCTAATTTTTTTTTTTTTTTTATTTTTAGTAGAGACGGGGTTTCACCATGTTAGCCAGGACAGTCTCAGTCTCCTGACCTTGTGATCCACCTGCCTCGGCCTCCCAAAGTGCTGGGATTACAGTGAAGACGGGGTCTTTAAAGAGGTGATTCAGGGTTAAATGAGGTCATGAGCGTGGGCCCTGATCCAATAGACTAGTGACCTTATGAGCGATTAGGACACAGACACAGGCAGGGACATGGCAAGAAGGTGGCTATCTGCAGGCCAAGGAGCAAGGCCTCAGGAGAAACCAACGCTGCCCACACCTTGATCTCAGGCTTCTGGCTCCAGAATCACGAGGAAATGTCTGTTAAGCCCCCCCGCTAAAAAAGCTGGGATGGTCCTTTGTTGGGCAGCCCCAGCAGAAAAACAGGTATGTTGCCCTGGGATGGATGCAGGCCCCTCCCATCCTCCCATCCTCAGCAGCACCAACCAGCCCCACGCTGGGTGGCTGCTCGTACTTCTCCATACTGAGCACCCCAGCCCACAGGATGATCAGCCGCTTCCATCCTACGGAACTCAGGTGTGGCTCTGTGGCTTCCTCTGGCCAGGGAAATGGAAGTGGGGTGACACACATTACTTGTGGCCTGCTGTGGCCTTTCCCCTGCCTCAGTGAGCATGGAGAAATACATCCAGGTAGGCTCTCGTCAGCACAGGTCTGACAGGCCCCAGCCATAGTGGCACACAGGTGTGAGCAAGAAATAAGCAGAGTCAACCATAGCGGCACTGTTGGAGATCTTTGTTACTGCAGCACAATCTGGCTCATGCTGATTGATCCTGCAGGGTAACAGCTTTATTTGCCTTGCTCCTTTATTGCTGGATCTTTGGGCTTTTCCAGTTCTGCTGTTCAAAAAATAGTGACACCCATGAGGTGGACATCAGACGGCCCAGACCCCAGCCAAGGCACTGTGTGGGTACCATTCTCATTCAACCCTACTACCCACCCCATGAGGAAAAACTGTGGTCACAGCTCAAAAAGGTCAGGGAAAGACGCTCAGCTTGTGAAGGGAGAGGAGAAGGCAAGGCCACCCTCCAGTCCCTGTGTTTTTTTTTGTTTTTTTTGAGACAGAATCTTGCTCTGTCACCCAGGCTGGAATGCAGTGGCCGGATCTCAGCTCACTGTAAGCTCCGCCTCCTGGGTTTACGCCATTCTCCTGCCTCAGCCTCCTGAGCAGCTGGGACTACAGGCACCCGCCACCTCGCCCGGCTAGTTTTTTGTATTTTTCAGTAGGGACGGGGTTTCACCGTGTTAGCCAGGATGGTCTCGATCTCCTGACCTCGTGATCCGCCCGTCTCGACCTCCCAAAGTGCTGGGATTACAGGCTTGAGCCACCGCACCCGGCCTCCAGTCCCTGTTCTAAACCCCCATGTAGTGGCACCAAACCATCACTATCCCTGACAAGAGTCTTCATGCACCAAGTAAGTAGTCACAGAATGTGTGTGCCTAGAATTGTTATGTGGTCAAATTGTAGTATTGTATACTCCCACTAATAGTATAGAAGGCCCAGTTCTCCATACCTCCACAACTCTGGGCATCTAAAACTTTTAAAATCCTGGAATCACAGGCAAAAAAAAAATTCACCCATATTTCCCTCTAGTCCTTTTATAATTTTAACATTGAAATCTTTAATCTGGAATATATACTGGCATAAAGAGGGAGGCACATACATGGCTTTACTATTTTCCAGAGGGCCAACTGCTTTTACTGAATAATCCATTTTACCCTCATTAATTGGAAACAGCTCTAGCATGTACTATATTTCCATATTTATTCAGCCCTGTTTCAAAGTTCTCTATTCTCTGCTCATCTGTCCACAACATCTAAGTGCTTTAACTATTGTGGCTTTATAAAATATTCCAATATCCCATAGGACCTTATCCTTAGGACTTCCTATTTTAAAGTTTTCCTTGGAGACAGGTACTTTAAACACCATCTCAGAGGACCCATCATATCCCATCTTCAGGAAATAAAATCTCTGGGTATTTCCAAGGGAAGTGAGGGACAGACACCATGATTGGAAAGCAGAGCCAGCCCCAAGGCCTGTCCCTGAGCACGTCCAGCAAACCCCGCCAGGCTCTGCGGCTCCTGAGCACCTGCCTTCGGGTCTGCCAGTGTGTGGGGGCCAGGAGAGAAAAAACAATCCCGGGAGAGTGCCTCCTCTCCTGGCTCTTGGTGCGCCTCCTTCCCCAACGAGCAGGAAAGCAGCTTGGTCATCATGTCTGAAACCAGGTGCTGCAGCAGCTGGCAACAAAGCCACTCTGAAAGGGGCTGTGTGCACTGCCTGTCTGGAAGGCTGTGCCAGAGTCCATCCTTGCCTCCACCCTACCTGTGCAGGAAACCTGGACGTCATCACTTCGAGACCCTGCCTCCCTTTCTGGGGAAAGCCCAACCACAATAAACAGGACCCGTTTTAATTAAAAACCAGGTCACCTGAACTCTCCCGTGGACTCTCACGCCTCCCCCGCTGGATGCTGCGTGACTGGCCCGCAGACACATGGCAGACCGTAACTCACACATGCCCAGAAGTTGCCTGGGTCCCAAGGGCAGAAAAGGCCCAAACCCCAGTGGGACAGGGTTCAGAAGAGAAGGCACCAATCTCAAGCTGAAGGATCCACTTCAGGTCCACTAAAGGGAGATGGGGAAGGTGGCCCGTCCAGAAGCCTGTGGGACAGGGTAAGGGTCAGCTGGGTGACTAGGCTGTCCATCCTAGAGAGCAACTCCGGGTTCTACTGCCAGACCCACAGGCAATCCAGGCCACAGTGCACCGGAGGCAGGCATCGGGGAGCAGTCTGACCCGACCCACAAAAGGGTGACTGGGGCCTGAGCCATCAGATGGAGGGCAGCTGTGTGACCTGGCACAGAAGCATGGGGCTGGGCCAGGATGTCCAGGGACTTCCCACATCTGACCAGAATCAAGACTGAACATGGGTTTCTTCTGCCAGCTCACTTCCTTTGCTACCAGGGCTATACCCCCTTTCTAAAAATAGCTTCCCACCTATTTCCAAGGTTTCCAGTTGTTTTATCTACAAGGTATCTGTGCCCTGAAATAACTCACCCATAAAACCATCTGAACCCAGAGCCTTTTTTAGTGATAGTTACCATAAAATAATCCCAACAATTTCTATTTTTCTAAATAAGTTTTTTGTGTGTGTGTGAGATAGAGTTGCACTCCTATTGCCCAGGCTGGAGTGTAATGGCGTGATCTTGACTCATCACAACCTCTGCCTCCTGGGTTCAAGCGATTCTCCTGCCTCAGTCTCCCAAGCAGCTGAGATTACAGGCATGCACCACCACACTTGGCTAATTTTGTATTTTTTAGTAGAGACAGGTTTCTCCATGTTGGTCAGGCTGGTCTTGAACTCCTGACCTCAGGTGATCCACCTACCTCGGCCTCCCAAAGTGCTGGGATTACAGGTATGAGCCACTGCTCCTGGCCAGTTTCTGAGTAAGTTTAACCAGATACTTGCTAATTAGTTTTTTCTAAAATAGTTAGCTGTATTTCCAATTCACATTTCTGCTTTTTCTTCCAACTTTTCAGGAAGGTGTTTTGTTGTTTTCACAACTGTAAAACGGAAAGGGACTTGAACTTCTTGTCCAAGCACCAGAGTGGAACACACTGCACACACTGGGCGGCTGTACCTGCCCATCCTGTGGTAAACGGCTCCAGGGGCTTCCAAGCTCAGCTTCCACTAGAAAACCCCTCCTTGTGTGGAACAGGTCTTTCTTCATTCCAACCCTCTGGGCCTGGGGCCTCACAGCTCTGGACTGCTGCCTGGTCCTCACTTCACCTCCAGCTCTCAGAAGTCAGTTCTCCACCTGCAGAGCCACCCACCCCCACCTACTCAGCCCCAGCTCCTTTGATCAGACCCTTGGACCCTCAAAGCCCCTGCTAGAAACCACATCTGCAACGCTGACCTGGAATGCTCAAGGCCAGGCCTCTAATCCTGAGAGAATGGGAAACAAAGACTCGCTGGTAGGCAGCCACTGCACCACAGGCTCAGCCAGTAATCCAACACATGTTTAATGAGCACCAATTGTGTACCAGACCACAGAGCTGACTAAGACAGAGCCCCTGTCCTGGAGGGTCACAGTCCGCCAGGAGGCAGATCCGAGTCATTTACATCACTGGGGCTTCAGTGCTGAATCGACCATGCATGCGAGTGCGGAGTGCGCAGGGGACAGCAGCACAGCAGCGGGGAAGAGGAGCCTGCTTCAGAACACCAGGCCCGACTACTACAGCGTTAACACACAAAGGGGGAATGCCTGCAGCTGAGCCTGGCAAGGGGCTTGCATCCTATCTTCCTGCATCCAAACCTCCCAGTTGCCCAGCACTGCTGGTAAACAAACCCACAGGAAACATCATTCTCTGCCAAGATGCTATCCCACTCATGCAGCAGAATCAAAGTGACTACTTCCTCCAGGCAGCCTTCCTCACATTCCAGCTGGGACAGAAATCACAGGGAGCAGAGAGGGTGAGGTTAGGGGGACAGACACAGAAACCTCATTCAGGAACCAGGTCCCAACAGGACAGACGTGGCAGACCCAGTTCAGTCCCAGCCAGTGTGGAAGACACCAAGGGGGGTGTTTTATGGGGGTGGAGGTGACAAAGATGACGCAAGTATCTGCTGAGAGTTGCCCTACAAAACGACCCCCTCGGGGGAGCAGGCCTGGGTGGGACAGCACTCCCAGGAGATGGGCAGGGATGCAGCCGAGAGCAGGCAGGAGCAGGGAAAGGGCACAGGGTGGAGGTCAAGCTCTGCTGGAGTAGGGGGAGCTGGTTCTGCTCAGCGCAGAGTCCAAAACAAGAGCATCTTGCCCAGCTATGGGGTCTGAAGTCATCTGGGGACACCACTCTGCTTTGACTGGGGACTATGGGGCTCCTGAGCCACACAGGCCACTTCATCACAAGGGGCACCATTGTTCCCGCCTGGGCTGTGCTCAGAACCCAGGAGAAAGTGGTGGCTCTCCTGGGGTCTCCAGGGCCTCCACCACCTACTGTGGGGTACCTAAGGACACCTCCTGGTCTCCCTCTGTCTCCAAAACCTCCTCCTCTGTTTTCTGGGGTTTTGGACCCCCTGGATGAGCGGGGTCTGGTCTCTGGGCAGGAGGATTAGCTGACTCCGACAGTCTAGGTTCAGGTGTGGGGGCTGCCTCCTCTGGCTGGGAAGAGGCTGGTTCCACAGGACCAGGCTTGGAGCTACATGCAGAACTGGGCAGAACTGGGGGCTCCTTGGGCCCAGGAGTGCTCTCCTTGGTCAGCTGCTGCTCGAGCAGAGCACTTCTGGATATAGAGTCGGACCCAGACACAGCAGGGGTGGCCATGGCAGCTGGTAAAAACCTGGGGGCAGTACCCATGTCGAGTGCCAGGCCCTCTAAGAACCTAGCTAAGTATTGCCTCACCACAGGCAGCTGAGGGGCCACTGGCAGCCGGCTGGAGGCCAGGGGCAGGGGACAGGGAACCACGGCGTGGTACTCAGCAAAACTGTTCGGGTCTTGAACAACTTCCTTGAGATCCTGGCAGAAGAGCTCGTAATCGTCAGGCAGGGGCAGGTCCCCATCAAGGTAGGGGGCTGCCCAGGCCCGGGCTCGGCCTGTCAGGCGCCTGAGGATCTCACAGACACGGCTGATGTTGTCCTGATAGTGCTCAAAGCGGAAGGACATGTAATCTCCCAGTTGGGCCAAGAAGCGGTCCAGTAGCCACGGGGAGCCATCAAAGGTGCCTGGGTCTGAGCCTGGCACCCAGCAGAAGTCCACCCTGTGGGGTCGGGAGCCGGGCAAGCGCCCAGCTAGGGGACCCCTTTCTGCAGGTTTACCGCCACGAGCGCCACTAGCTGTGCTCTTCTGCTCCATGGTTGTTCGCACACACACGGGGTCCCCGCAGCAGGGCCGCTCAATCCAGGGATCCACAAGGGGGGTGTATGCCACCCCAGGAGACGCCTGGTCCATCTGCTGCCATGGGTGTGCGTTGGCATAATTGGCGGCTGCCCAGATGGGAATGCGAGGGCCCTGCTGACGGCACCGGCCACGAGGCATGCTGGGCGCAGAGGGCAGAAGAGAGGAGAGCCAGCACTGCGGGGGGGGCGGGAGGTGGGGCGGCGTGGACAGACGTGGCTTGCACGACACAACAGGACAGGGATGGCTGAACAGGGCGTGGTAGACCTGCACTGGTCCAGGCAAGTGCTGAGGATCAGGGAGCTGACAGCTGCAGCCTCAGGAGAGCTGAGAAGAGCTGAGGGACTGTCAGTCGCAGGCCATCATCCGAGGCAATCTGTCCAAAGACAAGGTGGGGGAGAGCAGGAACTAGGCCTAATCATCACCCACTGAACTGGTGGGAAGAGGCAGCAAGCGGGCAACCCTCTGGTACCCAACTAGGAGCTCTGAGTGGAAGGAGGTGCCCAGGGGGCTGGCCTGGGAGGTCTGAGAAGGTGGGCAAATGCTGCCTATGACATTGCAAGGGCAAGGTAGAATGACAGACGCTGTCAATTTCAGAAGAAAAGGGGCCAGATCAGAACTGTCAGGGAATTTCAGGATAGCAATAGTAGCAACCTTTCACCGAATGCCCCATTTGCGCCACCTCCCCAAAATGAAGTTGGTACTAGTATTGTCTTTGGGGCACACAGTGGTGAAGTAACTTGTCTGCAGTCACACACCAACCCATAAGTGGTGGAAGCAGCAGAAACTGGCTGGAGAGATCACAGGCTTAACCACTATACAGCACGCATATTATAAACTACGTTTGTCAGGCCAGGCGCAGTGGCTCAAGCCTGTAATTCCAGCACTTTGGGAGGCCGAGACGGGCGGATCACGAGGTCAGGAGATCGAGACCATCCTGGCTAACACGGTGAAACCCCGTCTCTACTAAAAAATACCAAAAACTAGCTGGGCAAGGTGGCGGGTGCCTGTAGTCCCAGCTACTCGGGAGGCTGAGGCAGGAGAATGGCCTAAACCTAGGAGGCGGAGCTTGCAGTGAGCCGAGACCACGCCACTGCACTCCAGCTCGGGCGACAGAGCAAGACTCCGTCTCAAAAAAAAAAAAAAAAAAAAACACAAAACTACATTTGTCTGCTGAGTAGGCTCTAGCCACCCCAAAACTCTGAACAATGCACAGACCGCGTCATTAGGCTCTTTTACATCCCAGCACCAGGCACACAGCAGGTCCTACCTGCATCCCCGACAGCAGCAGTGAGCCTGCTATTATCTGCTCCCTCCTGACCCCACATGCTTTCCAAATTCACCTCTCACAACTGAGTGCCACCTGCAGGCAATGCCACCCCCACCCCCAAACGCCACCTTTCCACAGTCCCCATTCCAGCCACAGCAGAGTAACCCAGTCCCCCATTGTAAAATCCTGGAACCCCACTTGCTGTGTCTGCTCCCACAACTCCAGTCACTTGTGCCCAGGGTCTGGGGAGTCCCAGTCTGATGGCTGGACCTGCCCCGCCTTCTCCACGCAGCAGTTACCTAGGAAGCTCCACAGCCAGCAGCCAGTTCTATTCCAGTGCAAGGAGCCCTCCCCTGGGGCGCTCACACTCTCCAGCCTAACTCTATCCAGCCCCCTCCCCAGTCTCTCTGCAAACGGAGGCCCACTCACGACCTCCATGAAACTCTCTGCTTCACCCCGCACACAAACTGCACTGGCTCACTGGGAGCACAGGGCCTGCACACACCTTCATCCCAGATCTCCTATCCGCTGGCCATTCCCCCTCAGGGTGAGTTCCTCCCAGGGTGGCCTGCAGCACTAGAACCTGCCAGGGCCACTGGCCCTACCTCCACCACCCAAACACTCTGGAACCCCTCAGGTCTCACCTCCCTCTGGGGGGGGTCTTTACCTGAAAGCCCAGCCCATGACCCTGGCTTCCCATCTTACTGCCGGATTATACTAAGGCCTGGGGGCAGCAAACCCACAGGACAGCACGTGAGTCCAGTACACTGACTGAAAAAGCAGTAACAGGCCCGATCCAGGGCCCAGCTCCTACCACCAGCCAAAGTTAGGTATCCAGATTGCCCACAATGACCACACCCCATGCCCAGGAGTCACAGTGTGCTACCCAGATCTCTGCCTTCCCTTCTTCCCAGCCCCCACCATGCCCACTCACCTGCGCACCTGTGTCCCCTGCAGTCTGGGAGAAGGCTTCCCTGCACCAGCCAGCCGGGCGTGCTTCGGGCCTGAGCTTTCCTAACCCTGGGCCCCACTCTCACCATTTTGAGAACCTTAGCACTCCCACGCCTATCAGTCTGTTGTTCCCCCTACTTTTCTCTCCACACGGCCTGGCACAGAAGACTTTCGGCCCTTCTGGACTGGTCAGCACTATCCTAAAGGGGTAGGTACCACGGCGCATGTGTAGGCAGCACAAGGCCAAAGGCAGCACCTGGGAAAGCTGGGACGTTCTCTGATCTGGGGAGACCCAGGGGCCCCAAGAACAAAACCTGCCCAAAGCCTTAAAGCAAGCTGAGTGCAGACGACTGCACCGCCCGCCCCCCAGCAACCGCCATGCAGGAAATACGAGCTCACAAGGCCCACGGCAATAAGAAGCCCACCCACCTGCGGCTACGCGAAGCGCCCGCGAAGAGGGTCCAGGGATCCGTAGCTGGAGACCGGGGGACGGGCCTCCCTCCGAGGGCGAGAGTCCAAGCGCCACCTAGAAAGTGAAGAACGAGATCGGCCGCCGTGAGGCCAGGCAAGGCGCGGGCGCGACCTCCCGAGACTGCGAGAATGGCCCGAATGTCTCCAGGTGCCCCCACAAACCCCCGGCGCGGACCGAGAAACTGAGGCCAGCAGACCGAAGACACTGCGACCCAGGCTGGGGCTCCGAGTGCCCCTCCGCGGATCAGAAGTCGGGAAAAGACGGAGGGGCGTAGCTCCAGGCCCGCGCGCACAGAGTTCCAAGCCGGCCGCCCGGGCTCCCGCCTCCACACTGACCCTCCTGGAGCTGTCGGCGACGCCTGCTCCGAGCTGCGCCGTGCGGCGTCCAGCGCCCGACTACGCAGCGCAGCCACGCCCCCAGCGTGCGCGCGACCGCCTTACGACCCCGCGCATGCTCCAGGTTCGCCCCACGCGCACCTCCCAGCCAGGCCGCGCGCGCGCGCGCGCTCAGCCCGCCGCGCCTGCGCTGTGTACCGTGTAGCTGATGCCTCGCAGGCGCTCCCGGTCCCTGCTGTCGCGGTAGCGCCGCGCGGTGGGTGATGGGAGAGCGCGCCCATTCCCACGCCGCGCCAAGTGCCACGGGAGCAGGTGGGGCCGCGTGTACAGGCGCGGGGCGGTTGGGCCAAAGCTGCCTCTCATGATCCTCAGCGGGCGGTGCCCGGCGGTCCCTCAGATCCGGGAAATCTGCACCTCGCTGTGGCGTAGACCAAGGGGCAGTTACTGCCCTGGCGTCAGCCAGACACTGGGGTGCTGCTGGGCGTCGAGAGGGCTGCTGCGGGGCCGGGCTAAGCATGGGGGGCTGCAGGTGTCGGAGCGGATGTAGGCATAGCGGGGCTGCTGGGCCTCGAGAGCGCCCTGGAACGGCATGCCCGCAGAGTGCGTCTCATCACCCGTTGCCGGTGCCAGGAACCTCGTTAGGACCCGGTTCGATGTAGCTGCAGCCCGGGCGCGAGAGGCAGGGGGCAGGCAGGCCGAGAGGACCCTGTACCTACATGTCTGGGGGCTGCAGACGGCTCTGGGCCTCCTTATTGTGGGTGTAAGTGTGTGCTTCCGACTCAGGAGAGGAGAGCAAGGGCGGGCTACCAAGGCCTCCCCACAGGGCTGTGCCCAGCCTAAGCCTGCCGAGTGAGCACCCAGATCCGGGATAAGATAGGTGAGGATGAAGTGGTGCTCTTCTCACTTGCACGAGCGGCCCCACGCCACCTCTCCTCGGTTTCACGGTGCCTAGAGAAGAGGTGGGAGAGGGTGCAGGCGCCCCAGCTCAGAATCTAATGCCTGTGGGCCAAGGACCTGGATGCAGGCCAGGAGTCTTTGGGGCCACGGCAGGCAGCCGGATTCACCGGAAAGTGACGCTTCTCAAGGGGAACACACACGTAACACACCAGCTCCCCTTCTGCCCTGGTCCAGTGACTCCTTTCATGAAAGCTCTCTGAAATGTTATCTGCATTTACACCCAAACTCACTCACTTTGATCCCTGAAACGCGAATCAAAGATCACATTGTACCTTCCCTGGGTCTGTGGGGCTTTCAGCAGCCTGGGCCAAAAATAATAAAAGTGGCACCGAGCCAGGAAACGCCTCCTTGAAGTGGGAATGAAACTTGAATTTTTTTCGGTTGTATCTTTCCTAATTGACCTGATAATTTAAACTTCCTCCCTCAAGGGAAAGGTGGGGGTTCCCACAAATTCAGCTTACCTCAGCCTCTAGGCAGCTCAGCCTACAGCTTAGCGCCCATCAGCAGAGTGGGCAGTGGGCCTGTGCAAGAGATGAATCCAACTGAGCCAGAAAAGCCCTTTTTTGGTCCCAATTTTTTTTCTTTCAGGCCTTGTCCTGTGTATACCAGTCATGCACCACATAACATTTTGGTCAACAAGGGACCACATATATAACTGGTCATCCAGTAAGCTATGGTTACTTTATTATTGAAGAAAGAAAATTTTTAGGCCAGGCGCGGTGGTGGTTCACGCCTGTAATCCCAGCACTTTGGGAGGCCGAGGCGGGCAGCTCATTTGAGGTCAGGAGTTTGAGACCAGCCTGGCCAACATGGTGAAACCCTGTCTCTACCAAAAATACAAAAAGTTAGCCGGGTGTGGTAGCATGTGCCTGTAATCCCAGCTACTTGGGAGACTGAGGCAGGAAAATCACTTGAACCCGGGAGGCAGAGGTTGTAGTGAGCTGAGATTGTGCCACTGCACTCCAGCCTGGGCAACAGCAAGACTCCGTCTCAAAAAAAAGGAAAATGTTTAATATAAATATGGTGCAGCCTAAGTGTATAGTGTTTATAAAGTCTGAAGTAGGCCGGGCGCGGTGGCTCAAGCCTGTAATCCCAGCACTTTGGGAGGCCGAGATGGGCGGATCACGAGGTCAGGAGATCGAGACCATCCTGGCTAACACGGTGAAACCCCGTCTCTACTAAAAAATACAAAAAAAAAACACTAGCCGGGCGAGGTGGTGGGCGCCTGTAGTCCCAGCTAATGTAGTCCCAGCTACTTGGGAGGCTGAGGCAGGAGAATGGCGTAAACCCGAAAGGCGGAGCTTGCAGTGAGCTGAGATCCGGCCACTGCACCCCAGCCTGGGCAACAGAGCGAGACTCAGTCTCAAAAAAAAAAAAAAAGTCTGAAGTAGTGTACAATAATGTCTTAGGCCTTCACATTTACTCACCACACCCACCGCAACTTCCAGTCCTGCACCTCTTTTCATGGCAAGTGCCCTAACCAGTCATTTTTTATTTTTTGCACTGTATTTTTACTGTACCTTTGCTATGATTAGGTGCACTAATACCGCTGTGTCACAATTGCCTACATTGTTCAGTAGAGTCACTGCAAATTTGTAGCCCAGGAGCAATAGGCCTTACCATATAGCCTAGGTGTGTAGTAGGCTCTACCATCTTGGTTTGTATAAGTTACTCTATGATGATCCCTCCATGACAAAATCACCTAGTGACACATTTCTCAGAATGTATCCCCGTAGTTAAGTGACATATGACTATTTTTTTATTGTGGTAAAATATAGTAACATTTACCATTTTAGCCATTTTTAGGTGTACAATTCAGGAGCATTAAGTACATTCATCCTGTTGTATATCCAGTGATCACTACTTATTTCTAGAACTTTTTCATCACTCCAGAAACTGTACCCATTAACTCTTCTTCGCCTCCCACCCCCATCCCCTGGCAACCATCATTCCATATTCTGTCTCTGTGAATTTAATTACTCTAGGTACCTCATGTAAGTAGAATCATACAGTATTTATCATTTTGTGACTGGATTATTTCACTCAACGTGTTTTCAAGGTTCATTCACATCGCAGCATGTGTCAGAACTTCCTTCCTTTTTAAGGCTGTATAATATTCCATTGTACACATTGACCACGTTTTGTTTATTCATTTGTTGGTTGACACTTGGGTTGTTTTCACCTTTTGGCTATTGTGAATAATGCTGCTATGAACATTAGTGTATAAGTATATGTTTGAGTCCCTGCTTTCAGTACATAAGAGTGAAATTGCTGAATCATACGCTCATATTTTGTTTGACTTTTTGAGAGATTGCCAAACTTTTCCCTAGCAGTTGAACCATTTTATATTCCCACCAACAGTGCACAGGAGTTCCAACTTCTCCACATCCTCACCAACACTTGGTTACCTTCTCTTTTGTTTTGTTTTTTCCTAATAGCCATCCTAATGGTATGAAGTAGTGTCCCATTGTGATTTTAATTTGCATTTCTCTAATGAATAGTGAGATTGAGCATCTTTTTCCTGTTTTTGGCCATTTGTATATGTTCACTGGAGAAATGGCTGTTCAAGTCCTGTGCCCATTTTTCATTGGATTTTTGTTCTTATTGTTGAGTCATAAGATTTTTCTAGATATTCTGGATATTAATCCCTTGTCAGATATATAATTTGCAAGTATTTCTCCATAGGCTGCTTTTTCACTCTGTTAATAGTGTCTTTTGATACACAGAAGTTTTTCATTTTCATTAAAATATCATTAACTTAATTTCACTAATTGCATTAATTTCCAAGGCCAATTTGTCTATATGTTGGTGGTAGTGGTGGTGTTATATCTAAATCATTGCCAAATCCAATGCTATGAAGTTTTGCCCTATGTTTTCTTCTAAGTTTGATAGGTTTAGGTCTTTATATTTAGGACTTTGACCATTTTGAGTTCATTTTTATATACAGTGTTAGGTAAGGATCCAGCTTCATTCTTTTGCATGTGAACATCCAGATGTCCCAGCATGATTTGTTGAAAAGACTATCCTTTCCCTATCTTGGTACCCTTGTTGAAAATCATTTGACGTATATGCAAGGGTTTATTTCAAGGCTCTCTAGTCTGTTCCATTGGTCTGTATGTCTATCTTTCTTTTTTCAGGAAAGTACAGTGTTCAAACTACACAGTCTTGATTACTGTGGCTTTGTTGTAAATTTTGAAATCAGGAAGTGACAAGCCTCTACGTTTGTTCTTTTTCAAGATGGTTTTGGCTATTAGGAGTTCCTAGATTCCATATGAATTTTAGGATGGGTTTTATCTTTCTTTCTTTTTTCTTTTTTATTTTATTTTATTTTATTTTATTTATTTATTTTTTGGAGACGGAGTCTTGCTGTGTCGCTCAGGCTGGAGTGCAGTGGCGGAATCTTGGCTCACTGCAACCTCTGCCTCCCGCCGAGATCTCGGCTCACTGCAACCTTCACACCATTCTCCTGCCTCAGCCTCCTGAGTAGCTGGGACTACAGGCGCCTGCCACCATGCCTGGCTAATTTTTTGTATTTTTAGTAGAGATAGGGTTTCACTTTGTTAGCCAGGATGGTCTCGATCCCCTGACCTCGTGATCTGCCTGCCTCGGCCTCCCAAAGTGCTAGGATTACAGACGTGAGCCACTGCACCCGGCCTTTTTTTTTTTTTTTTTTTTAACTAGACACAGGGTCTCCCCTGTTACCCAGACTAGAGTTTAGTATCCTGATCATAGCTTACTGCTGCCTCAAATTCTTGGGCTCAAGTGATCCTCCTGCCTTAGCCTCTAAAGTACCTATGACTGTAGACATGTGCCACCACACCTGCCTTTTTTTTTTTTTTTGGTAAAGCTAGGGTCTCGTTATGTTGTCCAGGCTGGTCTTGAACTCCTAGGCCCCGCAAAATATTGGGATTACAGGCATGAACCACTGAACCTGGCCTATGATAGGTTTTTATATTTCTAAAAATCACTGTTGGGATTTTAATAGGATTGCATTGCCTCTGATGATCACTTTGGGTAGTATTGACATCTTAACAATATTAAATTTTCCAACACAGGATGTCTTTCCATTTAATTGTGTCTTTAAATGGATATAATTGAACACAGGATGTCTTTCCATTTAATTATGTCTTC